TTTTCAACTTTAAAAATGAATACGTATTAAAATACCGGTTAAAACCGATAATTCCTTCGCTAGGAATGTAAATCATAATCTTTGTATCTAAAAATTATTTTATCCTTAACTGTAATAGCCGGTTAGCAAGCCCTAACCTTTTGGTTCACTTAACACGCGATAAAAATGCGATGAGCACGAGAATGTTAAATAAAAAATTAGTTGAGCTTTAGTATTAAAGGCAGTATTCGCATGTAGACATTGTTTGCGATATAAGGATCCATTTCGAGAGATTTTTGAAAAACAAATGAAATGATTTAAATTGTAAAAAATGAAACAGTTCAAATATTTTGCGTTCATTTTCTCCGTAGGAAGATTTCTCAGTATTTCTAACTGTTTACAAGTAAACTTTAGGGAACATTAATTGCTGATTTTTTCCAGTTTTTACAATTATTTCTTATGTCGAAGTATGAAGAAATCTGTCACTAATTTTAACTCGAATTGAGTCTTTTAATTAAAAAAGTTTTATATTACACAAATATCTGGTTCTACACATATTTAAAGCTGTTTAAAGTTTTTTGCAAGTACAACTATTTCTTTACTATTACTGACTATTATGTTAGCGTTCTATATGTAGCTTCAAAAAAATCGAGTGTAGATTCATTCTTATGAAACATTGCTTTAAATATGTGTAAAATCGAGTACTTGTATAAAATAAAAAAAATTTTTTTTAACTTTTTGCAAAACTCAATTTAAGCTGAAATTAATGACCGATTTCTTCATTCTATGACATAAGAAACAACTATAAATAATTTGAAAAAAATCGATGTCTGATGTTCTCTGTGGTAAACCTTGTTAGTATCTTTTCCTTATTCTCAATGGAACGCACGGTAAATCATCGTAATTGTCGACGTTTCTCATACGTTTAGTCATGTAAATATGTGCGTTTGTATGAGTACATTGGTGGAACATTTAATGCACGTGCGCGCGTGATCGAGTCAACGGTTCATATTTAAACAATAATCCACACGCTACTTGACGTTACGAGAGGGCGATAAGCGCTCGTAAAACTAAAAAGCCTTAATTGAGTTCTGGCAATTGGCCAACACGCCGTAATCTAACCACGTACTCTGCAGAGTATATCGTGGCCGATTGCATCAACCGCGACCTTTTACCGCCTCACCAGTAGAGCGCGAAGATAATTGTACAGACAGGAGATCCACGTTCGGAATCGGATCGGCCTCGATCCTAGATGTCCCGTTCGAGCTGTACAATGGAAATCATCTAAAACTCGTCCAAATGTCGAAAAAAAAAAAAAACTGCCGAGGTTTATTTAAGTCTTTGTCAGCAAAGATAGAGGCTTAAAAAACGGCAAACTTGAGGAATGGATAAAATTTTTTATATCATCTTTGACCGATATCCAAAACGTACGATTTACATTTTTATAAACAATGTAGGATTTTTTAAATATTTTCTCTTTCGATAGCTTTCTGTTTTTTATACTAATTAAAAACGCACAACAATGCTAAACAAAAATGCAAAAGAATTCCATTGAAGAATTTAGTTCTCGAGAAAAAAAATGCCAAATAACAAAATTATATTTCTGAAAATTAATAGTAACTTCTAGGAAAAAAAGAATTAAACAATACTTAAGTTTAACAAAAGCATATTGGATATTTGTCACTCAGCGAAATGCTTGCGCAAGTTTTAACTGTCCGGAAAAGGACTAGGTCAACGTATAATGTAGACACGAGTCAACATTATTCCAAGGGAAATAGATAATCTTGGCCTTCTCTACCCAGATGGATTTCCAAATCTGTCGCGCGACAAATTCAGATTATATATCGATCCAGTTCTGTTCATTTTATATGGAGTTTTTTCTCGCAGTGTCATCGAGAATCGGCTTACGATTTACTGCTGTTAGACATTGAGATTCGCGATGTTGGCACGATATTATCGCTCAATGTTAAATTACTATACTGATAGCGAGTATTATTACTTAATACTTGCGCGATAGTATCGAAACGCACGTCCTTTGCAGCATTATTTTAAGTGCATCTGCAACTGTCTGAATAATCTGGCCTTAACTAAGATTTTTAAAGATAATCTTGACAAGCTGTAGTTAAGTAAATAAATCTCTTGGTAATGTAACATATCATAACGCATTATCTCTAAAAAATAAAAGAAAAAATAAAAGATTTTTATGAAAGTAAAACAAAGCACAATAAATACGAGAGTAAAAGTAAATGGTTTCTTCGATATCCAAAGCTGTACAGCTTTATATCGTGTTAAACACTTACGTGAGTGAATATGATGTATGTTTAAGTATAATTATCAGATAGGTTCATTTACATTTGCGGAAAAAGCAAGATGAAGGAGTAACGATCTTCTTCCTGCCTCTTGTAACTCTTTATTCGGATACCGATCTCCGGACATTAATTTGAATATGTTGCGTCGAGGCGGCGAATCGATCTCGGTCTTGCTGAAGGCGGATGTCCATTCGCATTGTAGCGAAGGTAAAAGCGTTGCGCCACGGGGTATCTGAATCCGAAAGACTCCATGCCTGAAAAGTTGGCCAACTTAGATATAGTTCCTTCATATTGATTTACGTTTGCAATTAATTTAAAAACTAAAATTGCAAATATTTTTGAAAAAATATTTGCTGTTGGTTGCCATTTGTAGATTACTAAAAATAACTTCGTAGCTACGCTGCAAAAATAAACCAGAAAAAATAACGTTTACGTTGTTCATATGAAGAAAATATTTCCAGAAATATTTTTTTCAGTTATCTACATCTCCATTATATTTTTTCCTAAAAGTTTTGCGCTTCTGGCAATAGCGAACGGAACAATCGAGCGATCAAACACGACGCGAAAAAGTGTCGTCCTTGTAGAATAGTTTTGTAATGTTCCATGTAAATAGAAGATCCGGCATTCTGCTTATGATGCTTATGATCTGACTACGATAAGTATACGTCCTTAGAAATATTAATCAACCATTTGTGCAATGGCCTCCGACCCGAGTGCGATCTTCACTTCTCTCGCGTTTCTTCATTAGGTCAATTGAAATTGTATGCGTATTCTCTCGGGCGTTTTATGATGCGAAATCTCGTCGCTATTCTTTTACGACGCCGTTAAGTCCGTATCTACCGATTGTGAAATGCGCATTAATTTATTTTTAAATCGTGGCATTCATATACTCGAATTGCGGGGGGGAGAGATTCCACAAAATGTTCACGAACGTGTGCTCGTGTATGCGTATACGAATCGTCGGATGTTGAAGTACATGCGCAACGAGGAAGCCAAAAAGGAAGACCCTTCTGTTCTCTAGGTGTTTGTGCAACCGTAGCCATTTATCCACGTTCGTTCTTCCGAGGACCCGCCACAAAAACATTAATGACGCTCATTACTCTGTGTAAGTTATTAACATGTTGCCGCTGACATTTGTAGCAATCTATATATATCAAGCGTAAATAATTTCTTTAAAAATTAATAGTTCGCGTCTTACTTTAGACGATAATAACGATGAATTTCAGCAAATGTAAATTTTTATAATGAATCATCCATTAAAAATATCAAAACTCTTGAAAATAGAAGATTTTGTAAATTTACTAATTACACCTGTTATTAATTTAATGATATAATATTATTTCGTACAAATAATCTATGTGTAACATAAAAATATTCAATCAGATTATTGTAATTTCAAAATTAAATCTTATAATAGGTATATATCTATATTTTTTCGAAGTATTATTAAAATAAGATACAAACGTAACATGTACAAATTTATTTAATATTTAATAATTTAGAATATATTAATGCAATAAATGCAACATATGTGTCTTTTTTTTAAACAATACAATAATAATGAAATATTAAATATGCGCCCGAATAGTATTTTAGCATGAAAGGTATTATTAAAAAATTAAAGCATCCATAAAAGTATTATAAGGAACGTACGTGACAGGTAGAACGTAGCTAAACAAAACCCTGTATATATTTATTCACATACTGTACAAAGATATATTACATAAAGTCGATACACAACTACACGCTAACTCGCGTACTTAAATAATGACCTAGAAACCCCATTTGGACGTTTCGGGATTGCAACGGAAGCGCATCGCCGACCTCGAAACTGCCCAAATGAAAGAGAACGTTACCAACACCGTAATTTCAAGATATAAGTAACTTACTGTTAGCCGTAGGTACGTAGGAATCGCAACACAGCGAAGACAAATAAATAATTTCACGTGATCCGCCGAAAAGCTGGGCGGATCCCTTCTAGAGAGTCTTTTTGTAATACTGAATAGTTTTCGGCTGGAACGGAAATTCGTACGTTCCGCCGAATATTAATTCAATGCCGCCGGCAAAAATTAATATCGCTCGGAAATTATTTCAAAAGAGGACAATAGTGACCTCGTTGGGGAAAGATACGCGGGGGAAAGGGTTGAAATTGTGTCACGTAGAGTCCAACCAGTACGGATAACCATAAGTGTACATGGTGCAATTCACCACGTGCCATCACATTCCGCCAATTTCGCATGCAATTTAACGAGTTACAATTTAACGATGTACCTGGCAACACAAGATGAGCGCGAACGTGTCAAAATGTTTACCCCCTTTTTTACGTCAGCATGCAAGACAATCACTGTTTTACACGAGTACATATACTAGGAATATAAAAAATTAATGTAATAAAGAAGATCCCTCATATTCTATATATCAGTAATTAAAATTCGCTTCTCATTTCAAATACGTAGTCATATATCTATCTACATTCAGAAAATTTCAATCAAACGATTAAAAATTTTTTATCCAATTATTTTCCAATAATAAAATTAATTTTTCTAAACACAGATACTACATATGAACATATGGACAGCACTTAGCAGCATAGCACAAGATTTATGCTATGTAACACGATAGCCAGTAATAACTCATAAAATTACATAAAGAAGATTTAGAGAAACTTTGTTATTATATCATTGCATGATAAGTGAAACGTATAAAATTACCTTGCTAATATGTGCGAACTTCTTTGATTATGGAGAGAAGAGAGTTAAGTTGAGTGTAGCGTTCACGCAAGTCAATGAACGGGAGGGACGAAGTATGGCAGGCGTTTTTTTTTTCTTCAAGTAATAGTTGTCGATGTTACGAGGCGATCGGTGTTTTATTCTTAATAAAAAGGATATTAAACGGCGAGCAATACATAATCTTAACGTCGGACTACAGCCGGTTAATTATTATATTGCGATCTTATCGATCGATGATCGATCGGGACTCCGCATATTAACCGACACGAGTTATGCTCGGTCGCGGATATCAAGCAGCCGCAGCTCAGATTTACATATCCGAAATCGATCGTTACACAATCTGTTTAATATCCGCAAGCGTAGGTGTCAATCTTGGCCCTAAGTTAAATCAAACTTCGTAGCAGCGTTATCGATCTAAGTTCGAAGAAGCCAATCTTCGACTCGAATCTAATTTTCCGATTATTGCATGCAAGTGTAATATAGCAGTCAAATTTAAGAATTTTAGAATTAATAATAACTTAATATTGTCGACTTCTAATGAGAGTATTCGACGAGAAGTACGATGTTCCGTATCTCTCCTGAAGAAACGCAGAGCAGGTTTATTCTATTTATTCATGGACGTCGATTCATGGGCCAAGATCAAAACCAATTCACCGTTCGGAGCTTGAATCTTCGAATTTAGGCTAAATGGAGTGACACGATGGATGACAGCAACGATCTACTCCAATGTATTGACAGGTGAACGTCTTCTGATATTCCAGCGAGATCTTCATCTCACGAGTCTTCCGACGCGCGCGTAGTTCCGATCGGTCGTCGATTATGCGGCTTCTCAGCCCCACTTAGCGGCTACCGTGTAAAGCGACCTGAGGAGTTCGAGGGCTCGGCTGTCAGAAGCGGTAGCCTCGTTCTCCGACAATGAATTATTCTCCGAGACAGCGTCGTCCGATCTTCTGGCAAAGGCATTGGCACTCTCAGTGGTCGTACGGAATTTTCGTCCCGTTCTACTGCGGAATGTTGTGATAGATGGTGAAGATGGCGTGAATCTCGTAGATGCTCGAGGAGTCCTTATCGTCGTGAAATTCGATAAAGCAGCCGCTCGTGGTTTAGCTGTAAAGTAATAAATAAAAAATTAATCTGCTTCGTCTAATAAATAATAAACTATTACCTAAAGAAACATATAATACCATTTTTTGTGAAAAATGGGCAATGCTGTATCTTTAACATAAGCAATATTAAAAAATAAGAAATATTATATTAAAGAAACAGAATTTTACTGGAAAAATAAATGTCTTTTGTAATAAAATCATGTATTACAAGTAAAGCATTTAAAAAATAATATATAAATTAAGAAAGCAAGATCAACAGCTTAAAAAATTTACTGTTGCTCTTGCTTTCTTAATTCACACATTATTTTTTAAATCGTATCGCAAACAAAAAACTTTGTAATCGGATATTATTTTTTAAAATCAATTTTTGTAATCTTTTTAAAAGATTGTATTTTTATGTCTTTTGTGCGTTAAAGCGATTAATAAGATTAATTTTATTAAAGCTCCTCCAAACGTTACAGCCAAACGATATATGCCAACTTGCACACATTCGCTAAATATATTGGCCTACATTCAATATAGATACGTATGTTATGTATGTTATGTTTGTGTACAATATTTGTTAATATTGGCGAACGTTGGCCCATTATTTGGTATCGTCCAGAGGCGCTTTTACACAACTAAAATTAATCGTCGACAGAGAGAAATAAATATATATATTCGTTATTCTTATTTATCCAAATAAAGCATTGTTTTAATGCGATGTTCAAAGATAAAATATATTTTCATAAAACATTCTATAAATAAATACTATAATTGAAGGGATTGGCGGAATAAAAGCACAATTCTACTTAGGTCCTTTTTCCGGGCTCAAATAAACAAGGAATTGATGTTGCTTACACTGGTTAAATATGAACGTGTTTTGATTGTTCCGAATATTGATAATCAATATTCGGAAAAAGGGACTAACAAGTAAGTGCATTTTTTAAATTGCAAATAACTTTTTAAATATTGATCATAATAGAGAAATATTATAACATATAACTTCTCAAAGACATATTATATAAATATGTATTTAATACTGTTCCCATTTGTGGTATAATAAAAAAGTAAACGTTATTTTAATTTTTATTAAAATAAAGATTTTGTAATTAGGCCTTTATTCCGTCCATCCTCTCAATTGTTAAATAAGATAATACGTACGAATTGAAAAATTAAGTCTGTTGATGCCAGCGATGATTTCTCGCGATTCTTCCGAACTGAACTCGTTAACAGGCATCCTCAGAAGTGCATCCAACAGTTGTTCCTTCTCCTGCTCCATCGTCTTGTTTCTAGGACCATTACAATGGCTTATCAGCAATAGTACCAATTGTCTTACTGTTGCATTGCTATCGGCCTGTTTCATCACTCGCATTAGTGTGTTCGAACTCGTCTCGTTTAAGTTACCGAACATCTCGTGCGCTTTGATCACTTCGCTCTCGGTGGCATTCAACGCATTGCCTTGCGCGAATGGCAGCAGAGTGGATACTAAATTGTCCCGGGAGACAGCATTGGTTGATGTCACCGAAGAGGTAATCGTGGTCGTTATGCTCGATCGCGTCGTGATAATCGGAGTTGGCGTTGCCGTGTTTTCTGCGGTAAAGGTTGTTGGTAGCAGAGTAAACGTTACGGGTGGATCGTTGTCGCTCGTCGCCCATTGCCATGGACTCGGTGTGCTGGTTGTTCGTGATTCCGTTGTCACGTCGAGATCTACAGCGGACAATTTCGACGACCTCGCAGTGCTCGTAGTGGGTTCTGATTCTTCACTAATAGCATTATCAGTTGTGTCGGGCAACTGAGTGGTGCCGACGTTCGACTGTAGACCGTGATTAATATGTCGAGGATCTACGAACACCGTTGTTTCCCAGAGCTGAGTGACCATAGGCGAAGAAGTCCAATGATCATCATTGAGTAGATTGGAATGTCTCGTGGTCGAGGCGTCCGTCGGATTATTAGTAGCGCGAATAACAGTAGCAGTATATGGAGTAGCTTCGCTGACGGTCGCAGTAATGGGATCTAGTGTTTTTATGTTGTCCCGAATTGTTGTTGCCGTCGTTGTTGCCAAAGGCTTACGAGTGACTTCTCTGTGATTATTCTCTAACTTGTAATTGTTTCTGTACTTCGCGTACGAACTGCGAGCTGTGGCAAGAGATTCGGATGGCGCTGTCGTTGATTCGTAGTAACGTATCCTGAATGGTTGAACTGTGGTGCTGGCGGTCTGGTAGAAGGGTTTGCTTCTCGATAGAGGCGTCGTTGAACGCACCACCTGATTCGGCAGAATACTGTTTGACGCGGTGAAACTCTTCACATTACCGAAATGTGGATGATAAGGAGGCGGTGTGAGATTTTGAACGGGTTTATCACCAGCCGAGCCTCTACCCCAGCTAGGTGAAGTTGTTCCTTTCACAAAAGACGCCACCGTCGACGACGCCATGTAATTGCTTATAGGTGTAGCGCCGATCGGTTTGACGTTTTTACCGTACGGTTGGAAGGTCCTTGCCGTATTATTTTGGAAACCACCGATCTTATTTCTATTTTCATACTCGTCCAATGGGAAATAATTGTCGTAGACCGATGACAGATCTGTCGTATCCCTTGTATCGCCATCGTAATTTTGAATATCATTCATAGTTGTAGTAAAAACGCGATTCACTTCGAAGGCAAACGTATTACCACCCTGTGTTGATGATTCGACGTAATCTCTCGAATCGCGTGATGAAGCACTGGGCGGTAACAATGTCGTACTCGGATAGTAAATTGGCCTTCGCGTTTGGCTCTCTAAAGTTGTATATTCATCATACGGCGTCGTATAGTAAGTCGAATACGATTTATCGGTGGTGACAGGTGGTTGTAAGGTGGTGGGGAATATAGTGGTTGGTTTACGTCTTCTGGTAACGTCGGTATCGTCCGAAAAATCCAGGACTTCATCCTTCTCTTTGGTGACTGATGCATACTCTTCCGCAGTAGTTGGATACAATGTCGTCATTTCAAACTGACCATCATCGGTGGTCGTCGTCGTCGGTTGCGTGGGCCTGATCTCTGTGAGCACCTTCTTAAAGGTTTCCGGATCCTGTAGATATGCCGATAGAGCATGAGTAAAGACCTGGGCCAGTTCGCGCAGCTTGGTGTTATTCGATCTTTTCGCGCCATTTACTGGACCCTCGCTCTGTTCGATTTCTAAATCGTCGTTTATTTCGCCGCTAAGATCATCGGCTTCTGACGTGAATTCAGCCATTGTGGCATTTCCTTCGAGCGCATTGTTTAAATTGAACAGTTCAACGTATGACGAGATGGTGTGTTGTGTGAGAATGCTGGTCGGTAATTCGACAGACACATTATGCGAGTGGTTGCCTTCTCTACCCTCGACTTCCTCGACACTTGCGGTAGATTCGATAGTCTCATTGGAGTCGAGATTGTCGCCAGCTGTGGCAAAGTATAGAGCTAACGAATGCAAAGTAGATGGACCGGGCGCAGAGGGCCCATTTCGGCTGCTTCCATCCTTCGCAATTTCACTCAGATTTTCTCCGTTATTTTCTAAACCTTGAAGAGAGTGCAACATGCTGAGCGCGTGTTCCCGTTCAGCGTAAGGTCTATCTTCTAAAGTCGGTGGTGGTTTGCTGCCAACCTCAGGTAAATAAGTCGCTCTGTCTTTAGGCTTGCTTGTTGTCAGAGGCGACGATTTCACCTTGGGTATCAGATTGCTGGCCGTGATGCGATAATTTGTCAGAGTGGAACTATATGTCGGCACAGTGGTCGGCGGTTTCGGCGTCGGCGTAGTGGTCATTGTGGAGTAAACGTAGTTTTTAGTGAAAGGTACGTATGGGCCTAAAGTGGACAGCACTTTCCCCTGTTTGTAGGTGAAACTGGTCTCGTAAGGACTTAAAGTTTTGCTGGTAGATCCGCTCTGCTGATAACCATTGGTGCTTCTCCCCGGCTTCTCAGTCGAGCTGATTGAATTCTGATGGAAGCTTTGCAAAGTCGCACGCCAAGGATCTCCCGTTGTACTTTTGTTTTCAATGTTCGTGATACTATTCTCGTTTTGATAATTAGCGCGGTAGGTTTGCTCATGACACTCATCGTAACATGGCACATTGGTCGTGGGAAACGCATCTTGACTGACAGATGAAGTGATGTTAGCAGCGTTATGCCGATAGCTTTCTGTATTCACGTATGGACGCGTAGTTGCGAAAGAAGTATCAATGTCTCTCTGTTCAGTTACCCTATTATCAATGTACTGTTGATTTTGATAATTCCCGGAGGCTGGTGGTATTCTTCCTATAGCAGGAGAGGTTCGAGAGCTAGACATAGTTGGGAACTCCTCTGCGGAGGGAAACGATGTCACTGTCGTGGTGTCAGCATTAGTGTAAGTGGTTTCCGGAACATCATCTTGCTTATAGTAAGAAGTGCTGTAGTGCGACGTTTCAGTGGTCGGTGTATACTGTAATGTTGTTTCATAAGGTGGCAACGTCGTTGTCCTGGGCTTATAGATAGGAGCGTATGTGGGACCAGGGTACGGTGGGGCGCCCGTCTTAGGTGTAAAGGATACCGTTTCACTCTCTCTGTTTCTCTGTGGCGTCGAGGTAGTCGTCTCGTGACCGCGGTAGCTAGCGGTAGTGGTATGATCTCGGTAATCGTACGAATGATAATAATACTGTCGAGTATTCTCGGATTTGCCCGAGTTGAAGCGATGTCCCCGGTTGGACACGAATGCGGCGCTTTCCGCAAACTGTTGGTATTCTTTCGGAGGCACCGGTGTTGTAGTTCTGAAGGTTGTCGTCTCCATGTATGTTGGTGTAGCTTTTTGTGGCTGATTGGAACTAAACAGATTGTTTCGCGTCGAAGTTCGTGATTTCGGATTATTGAACGCCGGCTTGTCGTTGCTGCTCGGCGTATTCTGATTAGATTGATAATTCTGCGTGTTACTCTGATAATTCTGCCGATTATCCTGGAACTTATTGTTGTGCTCGTAATTGAATTTGCTATTCTGGGTATCCAATTGATTTCTCTGTCTATTGACTACCTGATAATTCGATCCGCTATCATGATATTGTCGCTGTTTCGACGGCTGGTCGTAATTATCGGGTATCTGACTCGTTTTCTCGTTAGTCCGTAATGCGTTCGCATTATTTTCTTGGAACCGACCGGAACCACGAGTGTTCTCGAAAACGTTGTTCGGCCCGAAGTGTTGATTAGACTTTGGTTCATTCTGTTTTTCCGAAATCTGATTCTGCTTGTCGGTGGTTTGACCGTACGGATTCGTTCTACCGTTTTGTCTGCCATCGTAGTCAACGTTCTCGTAGTAATCCGCGTTATTTTGTTCCTCTGCTTCGCGATGAAACTCGGATTTCATCTTTCTCGCTTCCGTACGTTTCTTCTCTTCCTCGGCCAATTGCTCGACACTCTGCTCGTACAACTCTGTGGATTTGCTGCAGTCCACTTTGAACCACCAGTCGCATATAAGTTGCGATTGCTGGAAGATCGTGCCATTGGGACACAGGAACGAGATCTTACGTCCATTGTCGCAGATGTGGAATACCTGAAAATATATTCAACTTCGATGACAAATGCCTCACTAACGAAAAGTCTCTGCAGAAATGCTACTAGTATAACGGTGCTACTAGTATAAAAGTGCCGTTATTAAATATGATTACTTTTTCAAAAGTAATTTTGTGCACATAAATTATATAAAAATTCGAAGTAAAATGAAAAAAATGTCTTCAGAGAGATCATTCATTTCGTTCTTCATTTTCTCTTATTTTTCAAACTTTTTTATTTGGCATGTATATTCATATTTTTTACAGACATTCTAAAAATGTTCGAATTTTTCTATAATCCGTAACTAATAACAATCGCCGGATTGAGCATCAATCCGTGTGACTTTTGCTCAAATCGAGCCGTCGTCGTACGTAATATCGATGTCACCTACTTGGCAATTTGTCTCTAAATCCGCGTAATATCCCCCTCTCAGGCCGCGACAGCTGAATGAAGTGGCTGGAATCGACGTGAGGGCTGGATAATCCACTCCGGGCTGTCCCGTCACGCCTAAGTACAAAGTGGAGTGTTATTAAATTTTATAACGCTTATTATATTAACAGGCATTACCGATGTTCGTCCCGCGTTTTTCACAACCATGCTTCTAAAATATGAATATCGTAACATAATCGCTTGGAGCTTTCGCGAACCATGCCATTAATGTCATGCGAACTATGCCATTAACGTTTCGTATATAAAGAATTCCACGAACCGATAACTACCGAGGTTAGTGACAAAGATCGTTTGGATCCCCCCCCGTCATATCGCTTCGTGCGCAAGATGATAAACGAGCGATAGATTATCTGCCGGTATGCATTAACGCATCGCGTTTCGAAAATTTAATTACCAAACGTAACAATGCAATTACATCACGTTTAGAGGAATAACGGGTCGGCTAGAATAGCAGTGCCGTAGAAAGTCTGTCACTTCAATGGAAAGTCACGAAGCGCCGGCGCACAATCATCGTAAAACGAAAAATTGCACCTCGTGGGAAAGCAGAAACGCAGTCTGATCGCTCCGAGATAGTCGCACGCACTCAATGACTTTCGCTTACACAGTCTTACATAATATTTGACCGCTAAGATGGTTGGAGAAAAGATTCATACAAACATCGGATGCTCTCATTTTCGCTTCTGCTTGAGTACGATATCACTATGCATGGAGTGCTCCAAATTTACCGAAGAAGCTTCCGGTAAATATATGCATAGATGCACAACTTGCAGAAGTGAATTCGTATGACTGTACGTTATGTCTACATGCGAAAGACAAATATACACGTGCACAATGTAAATATATATATGGGAAAAGATAATACGTGAAGCGCTGGAGAGTGCAACGTTGGAATAAGCAAATATTATTTTTATTCCGGGATAAAAAATATGAGCAAAAAATATTTATTCATAAACTTTTTTATATGTATTTATGCTCTCTTGGCCATCAACAATTTCATTCAAAACATTGGGATTAATAAGTAATTAATAAGCATGGAATGAAATTACAAATAAGAGTTTTTAAGAGTTTTGCAATTTTTTAAAGGATAATTTTAGATAATAAGTTTTTATCAAAGGATTTGAACGCCATGTTAAGCAGTTTATTTTACAAACAATAATAAAAGAGTACACGAATAAGAACGGTTACATCAAAGAGACGCGACATGCACGGAGAAAAACGTTTTAAGTAATAATACCCGCTCCTTTGAGCCACTCCTTGAGAAGGTCCTCGTTACCGAAGAAGACTGGCAATAGAAGAAAAAGCGAGTTGCTTTAGTCAGGTCGGAAAAGAAAAAGAGATTAGCGATGTAGTCTCGAGGTTAGTAGGACAGTTCTGTGAGAAAACCTTGGTAAACTTGGTACTCGCCGTTCTTTTCGGGCGCCAGCCTTTTCACGATTTTCTTCAGTGCTTCGACGTCTTCTTCGAATACCTCAAGACTCGACAGGTCCAATTCCGTGAGGAACTCTGGTAGTCTCGCATGCTCGACATCTCGCGATGCCTGCAACGTAATACGCTCTCAGAATGTAGAACTACTTCTAGAAAAGCGCTCGCGATGACGAGTTTCCGCAGGTCTCTTGGAAGATACACTACTTTCAACTCGTCTTACAGCTTGCTCTTTTCTTCCAGTATACTTGCATTTTTAGATGCTATCTCGTAATCCAATCATCATTTCAGATTGCACGTGATAACGTTAATGTGAAATCGTTAAAAAAACACAAACAATTTTTAATTTAAAGCTAATTGAAAATGTACAAAGTCGAGAGGCCAGTTATCACTTCAATTCAATATTTGCGATATTTTTTTCCAAATTTTTTTCCAATTGACGTAATCGCAATTAGCAAAAAACGAATTAAGCGATTTTGAGAATTTAGCCGTAAGCTGTTATCTCTAGGTGATATTATCCTGTTAAAAAACGGTCACAATTTACCATGAAATTTGGTTTCTTTCTTTATATGCGTCATACGTGAAGTGATGATAATTAGGGAAATCAATTTATGTATTTGTACGCTCGAACGAGCGCGACGTAGTGCATTAAACGCTATTGATTTTGCGTGCGCGAAACGATACGACGCACAAAATGCGAACAAACGTTCGCCGCTGCGTTATCCCGCACATGAAATTCGATACTGCAACTCGCATCCCACCGGGAAACGAAAGTTTGATTAAATTTCGCTGTAGAGAGTGCGGGCAGAGGAACGTTCGTCGTCGTTACCTACACTTACACGTCGCGTAAATCACGGTTAACCAGTAAACGGTGCATCACAGTATTGACCATTGTCGACATTTATTAGCAATGTTAATGACTTCAAAGCGACGCTCTACACGAGAGTGTATCGTAATTTCACTCGAGCGATTTTTCACGGAATCCGCTTGCGCGCGAACGCGTAACTCGGTAACTATGTAATTAGATCTCGCGCTCCCGTAAATTAAAATCCGCGTTATATCTGCAGGGATGAGAAAAGAGCGTTCGTAACGCATGTTTCCACGCTCGCGGTTGGAAATTTCGCGTCGCCCCGAAGCGCGCTTTACCTCTTTCGAATCGATTGCTCGCAAACCGTAAATCGTCGCAATAAACCGTCGCACGTACACCGTCCGTGCGGAATTCTACGAAAGTTAAATTACATTGCTTGAAATAAGGGCCGCGGGGACTTTAATTACTTAGCCGCTAATTAACTTCGGCGTCCAAAATGTCGCCTGATTGGAACCGCTCGGTCTTCAGATTAGCGCCACTTGAATATTTACGACAGTAGCATTGTTCGTTCACTTATACTTCTATAGAATTAAAATCCGTAATAAATATTCTAAGATGTTTCTAAACTATCCGAGTCAGCTTGCCGCCTGGAGAATTCACGAAAGTACCGAGAAGGATAATTTATGGATATAAAAACTTCATCATCCATAGCAACTTTACGGGAAAGTCAGGAACTTAATATTAAACTTAGAGGATCGCGCGGAGATATTGTATCGAAATTATCATTGCGTGATAAATTAAATGAAATTTTTATAAAATTAACATTGGCATTGAAAGTTACATAGAGAAAATCAAAATTTAATTACAAAATTAATTTCAAATTTAATTGAAGATTAATTTCAATTCCAATCTTTAACAGTAAGATAATAGTATATCGTATAACTAGAAGGCTATTCGTAATCTTAAAAAATAATATTAAGAAAAAAATGGAAAACGCTCACCTCTGTCTTGCAGTGGCCAGGCGTGTACGTAGCAGCGATACCTGAAAGTCGGAAGCGGGGATTAGAGTTGGGATTAAATAATCACGCGTCTTGCTCTATAGGAAATTAGGTCAGCGAAGCGCGGTCGCCTAATCCGGATGTTCTACAGTCGTCCTATGGCAACCATTTGGGATATTTGTATAGCTGCTTTCGTTACAACGCGATGTTGTGAAAATATGCCAGCGGCGGTAACCGTTCAGGCTGTTTTCGCTGTTGAATAAAGAAGCTTTATCAACGACAAACATACAAGCCAACAGAATCGCACGGTCGATGCGCCCGTATAATCCCATGGGTTTTATAGTAGAATTGTACGTGTCGAAATTTTTTTCTCACTGCCGTTCAGCGTACTGTTCGCGGTAAAACAAGCTAAATCAATATCGAAAACACATTACACTGACCTTGTCGAACTTCTTTCAGCTCATAAGTAACTTTATTCTCTCTCTCTCTCTCTCTCTCTCTCTCTCTCTCTCTCTCTCTCTCTCTTTCTCAGAGGACGGTATTTTATACTCTCTAAGATATAAGAGAGCTAAAATAATTTTTTTTTCAAGAGTGCTTAAATACGTGTTGGATATCAAGGATGACATTACACGGAAACATACATAATAACGTATTAAAAACATAAAATATAATTCTGATAATTAAAAGAAAAATAAAAAGTTTATGTATCTTTATATATAACAATAAATAATATTTGAATATTTTATAACTTAAATGTTTCAGATAACACTTGAAAGTTTAAAAAATATTCGTTGCTATTAAACTGTAAAATAGTTATTTAGTAAACTATTTGATCTGAAAGAAACTCCGATCCGAATATTCAATTTTAGTCATGTTTTCCATTATTGAATTAGTTATAAATTACTTTTTAAGAAACTTCAAATTAATTTTGATTATAAGTACGCGCTTTTGAAAATTGTCAGGAATCATGTCAAAGAGTTATGACTTTCAATCGCAAAGAGCTGCGAGAAAATTTATCAAAGAATTTATAGTTGAGAGAAAGCGCGTGATACCTATATGACACATTACATAAGCTCGAGTCATAGGTCGATGGGCCATCATCATTTTGTCGTTTGACGTACCAGTATTAGAAGTATGCACAGTAATTTAATATAATAAATGGTAACTAAAGGCGATTCTATGTATTTTACATAGAATCCGCCCCAAACGTTATAATGTTCGAAATAAACTATTTGTTGAATGCCTCAAAGAAGTAACTCATTGTGAAGTAAACAAGAATTTTTTCGGAAAAAGAATTTATAATCTGACTATGATCGATCCTGACGATAGGTTTCAAATACCCTGAGATCCCAAAGAAGAAACTCAATGGTGCTGAATATAAAGTCATACGGAACATTATTGGAAAATGCAGAAAGAGAAAGACGATGCGACAGAGTAACAAAGATGGATAAAAAGTGATACGGACAAAGTCGTAACTTGCTCCGCGAAATTCTTTACGAGATCGTAGAAAACGTGCAAAGTTTCGCGAAGGTAAGCGACGAACTTTCATGCCGATGAAAAATTTTCCACGCATACTTGCACTAAGTCCCGGATATCGAATCGCGCATTTCCAACGAAGTATAGTTGTGAACTTTTCTACTTCGCTACGTTGAGAGGTTTCTCAACGTTATTCAGTAGCTCCTCCAGTTAATCCAATATATCACTTCATTACGCTATAAATTATTACTGTGTAAATACGAACTTGCGACAATAACGTGATACGTTTTTCAGAAAGTTTTAATCAGCATCAAAAATCGTTAATTAATATATTTATATATTTTCTCCTGTACTTTTCTGTGTGTGAATTCAGTCCACCATCATTATAAATAATACAAATTATTTCTTCTTTACATAAAATCTGTTTATTTATGAATATTTGCATCACTGAATATTATTCGAGAGAATTATTATCAACAATAAAATTAAATTTTTGCCTGTATCATATAAAGTAAGGTAAGATTTATATTAAAATCAGTTCTTGAAAAAATTGATAAACAATCAATATGCAAATGCTTTGTATTATAAGAAATATATTATTAATTAATTAATATAATTAAATGTATTATATTCCTAACAAGACTATATATAAAAATCCAAACGAGAAATCGATACAGCTTATTAATAAATATAAGTCATTACTATTTACGATTTTCCCTGAAAACGTGGCTTGAACATGCTATTTCTCTAAAGCCTTTTTACGCAAATTCCGTGTGAAGGAAAATAAAATTTCCATATTTCCGCGATGAGAGGCAACGACAAGCGCGTGACAAATGCTGCGTGAATGGCCGGTGAGTCAACAACATCGATCTTCTCGTACCGCAGATTGTGCTGTGCTCTTCGACGCAGAAGAGAAGCGTGGAGTAAACGACCATAAATCCCGGGCCGAGCGATTCTACATCGGATTCACCTTCGCCGCGGAAGCGAATCCTTGACTTTATCCACGCGCGACAGGATGCCACG